AGGGAACGCAAAGGTATTACGAGGGAACGCAAAGGTATTACGAGGGAACGCAAAGGTATTACGAGGGAACGCAAAGGTATTACGAGGGAACGCAAAGGTATTGCATGGTAACGAAAGAAAAAAATCCCCGTGTCCCCTCGCGGGCTCCGTATGACTCAAACATGAATGAATGCAGTTTAGCAGGATTATAAGTTGTTTGATATAAAAAATATATTAAAAAAAACTTGAGCCTTTTTAATGTGCTGCAGTTAAAATAATCAAAACTTTCAGCTTTTGGATTAATGTTTGCATGTAGTATGAAGTTGTGCCCTCTGAAATGAATTAACATACAGTAATACATTCAGAACCAGGCCTCTCTTGAAAAAAAGAGATCTGTGATCTCAGTGGGATTTGCCTAGGTAAAGATTAACAATAAATAAAATAAATAAAACAAATCCCCGCATAGAACAGAATACTCTAACATATTTTTTCCTAGCTGCTAATGAGTTATCAGTATGCAGAATGTAACGAGACAGCACAGAGATCAACTCTTGATTGCTGCTTTTCAAACAATATAATGAAGAAGAGATGATTAAAACAWCGATGCTGTTGATTAATGGATATTTTGAAAAGAACACGAGTGAATTAAACATTAGTATTTTGAAATAAATAGAAAAATTGTACCAATGACATGACACAAGTCAAAACTGACAGTTGACTACTTGTCAAATCAAAAAGGCAGATGGTTTTGTTGCAGTTTAAGGCTCCWCCTGCACACTTCTCTGGCTCCTGCATTACGAGCCAGGGCAGCTGCAAAATAAATATTCTCAAATATCTTCCAAATTTGGTTTAATGAAAAATACAACTCAGGAATGAAGTAAGCAATATATTGGCTTTATTATTTTTATTCATATGAAACCTGCAGGGCCTTGTTTAAATCTATAGTCCAACATTTAGACATGCAGGCAAGCTGCACCTCAGGTTATTGGAAAGTTTGACTTGTCAAAGTCACTGCTCTAGTGTTATTTTCTCTAACGTTTCTTTACTATGACATTGCCTCTAGTCTCTTTAGTCAGTGGAATGACAGTTTTTAAAACACAAAACTAATTTGAGTGTCTTAAGCGTCACATTTGTGGAAAAGCATCACATAACAAAAATGTCTGGGAATCATAGGCAAAAAAAACCAAACAAACAATAATTTAAAAAGTTTAAAACTTGTCTCCAACACAAGCAGCCTGTAAGAAATTCAATGTTTTTTTATTTACTTTAAAGCCACCACAGCTTATTTACATTTTTTCTGTTAGAATCGTTTCTGACCAGTTGATCCTAAAATAAAATGTTCAGATTTAAAGACACAGCAGAAGCCCCCCGCCACAATGCTTCTGTGAAACATGATAGTTTGCTTTAAGATGTTTTGTCATTATTAGGGTCAGTTAGTTCCAAATTCTAATGAAAATCAAGCTGAACCTCTGCAGATACAGTCAAACTAAAAGTAAGAAGCCAAAGGATGGTTGATGATAAAAATAAACACTTAATGCCTTGAATGAGTGGATAATTCTGCAAAGAAGTTTTACTTTTTGTAAATTTATTTGGTGTCAAAGCAGCTATAACTCTCTTAATGTGCTGTCAGAGTAAAATATTTAACATTTAATTAAAAAGGTTCTGATTGTAACATTTTAGCATATTTGACTTTCTCTTTGAAAACACTGCAGTTCTTACCATCAACGTTCCAAAGATGCTGCTGATTTGACGGTTCCAGTCCAATCCACATGTCCTTTCCAGAGTCCATGCGCCTCTCAAGAAAAAGCTGAGTGTCTTCATCAGGGATCATCGCCAGACTTCCTCCGTTCTCTTCGCACCACTTTTGGGCACCGTGAAAAGGGAGCTTCAGAGCCACGAGCTCAAAGCGAGAACCTCGGAACGTCCTCTCCTCCTCTGGAGAGGAAGCTGTGACCTTCAGGTCACTTTCAGGCTGACGGCTGAGTGTCAACAAGACCAGCATGTGAAGGAGTGCTCCGCTCATCGTTTCAATTCACACTTTCACACAACAAAAAGTTAGGCTCCTTTCATCTGTTTCCAACTTTTTTTTTATTTAGAGATTTCAGAGCAGCACTTGTGTCCTTATGCACTCACCTGAGTGACATTCAGCCTTTAAATGTATCTGACATGAGCATCTCCCCTTGAACCGCTCCCTGCTTTCTCTTTGTTTGCTGAGCGTCCACGCTCGCTCAAAAACTAATGATTGCTTTGCCTTTGGGCACACAGGAACACCAGGAGAGAAGCCAGAAGGTAGAGGTTAGGGATTGTTGGAAGCTTTTAGCATTAATGTTACCTGGAGGKGGTCATATGGGGTGCCGTTTGTAAAGTTACACAATCAAAAATTATCACCATTATTTTTGTTTTATTTAGTCTTTTATAAGAAATAAAGGACAGATTTTTATTTTTCAAAGTCAGTTTTTAACCATATGATTCATACATTTATAAATGTCATAGTTTATAAACTAAATATTTAACTTACAAATTAAATATTTAGCTACCTACCTAAATATTTAGGTAAATATTTAGGTGACTACCTAAATATTTACCTAAATATTTAACTTAAATAT